GGCCTACTCCGGTGCAAACTGTTGTCGAAATCTCCCGGAAAATTGCTTCTCCATTGTTGAGATCATGTTTCTACTATCTTTGGTCCGGTGTATGGAGCTCCGAGTAAAACTAAGTCCTCGGGATTCTCCCTCTCTTGCAGCCATGCATAGCTGTTCTTTTCCTCCTCGGGCACAGGCACGCCATCAACTGTTCCATCGAAAATTATAGTGCCTTTCTTTCCATAATCAACTATGATAAAAACTCCATAACTGCTTGCACAAACTTGCAACTTAAGAAACAGAGTGTTTTCTACTCTCAACTCGTCCTTTCAGTAAAATTTATCACATAAAACATCGAGTAGCAGCAACATTTGAGGATAAGGTGAGTAATCGTTTAGAGCATTTTGACAAAATTAAAAATCCAAAAACGAAGTCCAATAATACATATCAAACATGTCCTCAAGGAACCTCTCTCTGCTTAATCTGGACAACATTTCCCAATGTACGCCTTTTCGAAACATAGACATAAAAATGCACGCAAAATCATGGAAAGCTAACGAAAATAATGTCTACAGTGACAAATGGTGCAATACCTGGAAAATCAGTCAACGGGTAGTCGAAGTAGTACTGACAATGGCGACCCTCAGGATCACAATACGGAGGGCCAAGCACGTCCAATACAGCACATGCTGTCTTTGCTGTGAAGCAATGCATGTTACCACCATCAGTTGGATAGAGAATGGAAGTACTGCAGGGTGCAGTAAACTCCGAATTGACCTTAAGCTTTGCCAGTCGCAGTCCATCTGGATAGCCTGCAGTAGATTAATAGAGATTCACACTGAAAATTATTGCCAACTAACATTGGCCTTTTCAATGTTATCAGCACTCAGGAAATATCTGCATGCACCAAACATACTATTTTTATGTGTAAAACATTCCAGTTTTGGATTTTACCAATTTTGCGGCTGTTTGATTTTTGCCAGTGTGACATGATGTATGCATTTAACTTCAGCATTCACACGTTTGGCTAAACTCGAAATCTGCTTTCGACTGTCTAGACTCCTCAACTCCTCAACGTGGAGTATTGAAGTATTTTCTTTAAAAAAAAAAAATAACTACCAGTTAGGGCTTCATTAAAATGAAACTTTGACATGGCCAACAAATTTGGAGGATTTCCTCATTCTTAGTTCCTTTTCAATTTGTACGATATTTCTTTCAGTGCACATGCTATACAGAAATTTTTTTGTTAACTGCCCTCCAATTATTTGAACACGAGACTTTTCAACCATTTAATTGCAGTTTGAAAAAATACTAATGACCATCTTTCAAGAACATAACAGAAGGGGGTGTTCGAATAAATTTAACCAGAAGGGATAAAAGTGGAGTCCGGGAAACATACTGTTTGAAGGATTAGCAACCGGAGCTACGCCATTGGGGATTGCATCTCCCTTATCCTTCGTATCCACCCAGTCATATGACTTGATATGCATAGTTCCAAAGAGAAGCTTGCTGAAAACTGTCATTCCAGGATGGTTATGAAGTGGAATGACACTTGATGGTGGCAAGCAGAAGATTCCAATCTGCAATAATATAAGAGATAAGCAAGAAACACAATAGTAGAGATTATGAGTGCATGATTGATAAGCAGTATTGGATAGAGCTCGAGAGAATAATAAACATGATTTTAGCATATTTTTCTTTTTTAATCCTCTCCACTCGTGTCACAATCCTCCTTACCAGACTTGAACGAGCATTGGGGGCGGAGGAGGAGGGGGGAAATCGGGGATGCAGAGCAGATTACATACCGAGAATTTGTCACACTCGTGAAGCTGTTGATATGTTATAATAGAAGCTCGTTTACTGTCGAAAAATAGCATATTAGGCCTCAGGTCGACATCTGCTTGAGTAATCTTGTCTGCAGGCATTAAAGTTTGTTCAGCCTTACAGAGAATTAAGAAAACAAATATGCAGTTTTCATAACGCAAATAGGAATCCATTTTTCACTACTTGTTTCTAGGCCCTTGTTTCGTCTTAGGATAATGTCTCTAACAGAAAAAAGTATTAGGTAACAATAACACGTCCTGTTTGGTTTGGATTAAAATCTGAAGCCAAAGTCAACAATTAATTTTAACCACAGATTTCATGGGATCCGCAACTTTTCAACCACGATCTTCATTAAATTCTATTAAAATCTATTAAAAATCTAATTTTAATATACGCCACACAGGGGCAGGTGTGACAAATTTAATTCCTTGCGTACCACATGAATGTTGTCATAAATAATTTCAATGCAACTATAGAAGGAATAACTGCAAATTAGGTATCTTAAAAGAGAGGTATGAATATGATGGAATTCAGAAATGAGTAACATGGAACAGCTTGAAATACCTAGTCTTATAAATTTCAGCAAATTATCTTTCCAATTTGAGTTTAAGTCGAGATTCAATTTCCAATCCGCTTATGTCTTGATGGCACATTTGTATTGCTCGAAATAAACAAGTTTAAAGAACAAAAACTTACAAATTTTATTTGTTGTACTGAGTATTTGTTCTTACTAGATACTGCTTATCAAATGTGGGTGCAAAATGTCCTAAAATTTCCTTTTCTTTACCTTATTCTTATACACAAGCAGGTTACATGGATACAAAACTCAGTGGACAGATGGGATTGTGAAATTTTGGTTGCCCATCAGTCACATTTTCAAGAAGAGAAAAAACAACTGGCATGGGGAGCAAATTATGTACTTTAACACAAGGAGCAGCTGATGGCGTGTCGATTAGCCAAGAAAATGGCAAAAAAATAATTCAAGAAGCCAACTCCTATTATATGAGAAAAACGCTTCATTTGCTCCTATTGTGAAACATAGCATGTTTGGCTAAGTTTAAAAAGTTAACTTTGTATACTATATAAGTTTGCTTAAGATAAGTAACTCCTTATTTATCAAAAATGAAAAGAAGTAAATTAATCATCTAAAATGTTTGGAATAAAAAGTTAAACTTTACGCATTCCTAAGTTTAGCCAAACATGCCTGTACACCAAAACCTTAAAGGATAGGGCTAGAGACACTAAAGTTAAAAATAGTACATCATGTCACACTGTCAAGAGCAAACAGCCCCAAAATTTGAAAAATTCCAAAATAATTGGACTATGGATATGAAGTTTTCAATACAAGTAAAAACATTAATATTTGGCGCATGCAGCAATTTTTAGAATGCTCTTTCGATATTTCTTAAGTAGTTATGACAAGATACAGATATTTAGTTCATCAGAAACAACACTCATCCTGTACATTATCCTAATAATGGCTGGCTGCATCAACCATAAAATAGTCAAACTTGGAACTCATTAACATTGACCAGAAACTTAAAATTCTAGGACCAAACATGGAAACTCAAAAAACCTTTGACAGGTACAAAGATTGGTGACATCAGTTCCAATGGAGTCAAGATTGTCATGCAAAACGAAAAAAGGGTTGGGGAGGACAAAATATATGCTCATTTCGTCCCACAAAGATAAACTTGATTACATTTTTCGTATGCCCCAAATTATAGGTCACATTCCTGGTTGGGGTATACACCGGTTGGGACTACAGTTAATTTCTTAATTTTCTAACATGGTTACTTAGAGCATCTTGTTATCAACAAATATTAAATACTCATATTAGTGTGTTTGATGCACATTTTTAAGGAGAAAATGCAAATATGTGGTGAAAAAGAAAGAAAAGTTATTGATGTGATGAAAAATATTACTTTATTGAAAAATGTGTGGTTGAAAATGAATAAAATAATGAAAACGAAAATGAGAACGTGGCTCAAACATGTACTAATTATTATTTAATTTAGGGATATTATATTAGGAAAAGTGTAAGTAAAGCTTATATTTTCTTTTGATTGCAAGAATGAAATTTGGTAGAAAGAAAATGAATTCCATGAAATTAAATTGCGTTTTACTGAGAATTGTCAATTAATTATATTTGATTGGTATAATTTTTCACCTTAAAAATATTGAAAATTTGGATATTTTGGTATTTATTTGACTTTATTTTTTATGAAAATTATCCATTAAAAAGATGGAATTTGAATTGAAGATAAAATTTGTTTCCATTGAAAAAAAAAAAAAAGTTGTGAGCTTTTCCGACCATACCCATGAGACAATCCCATGCAAAATTTAGACAATCAAATGTGAAAAATGTGAAAATAGAATTTAATTTCCATCTTCCATGGAAAAGAAAGCCAAACCAAACAAGTCCTTATATTAATTATATTTTCCATGTGAAAATGAACGCATTCTTATTTTATGGGACGGGGAGTATGTATTATGTGTATATTGTAAAAAATAAAATTTCCATCCCCCCAACAAACACACACACACACAGTCTACAGATTTGGTATGCTATATTGGGCACTGACGACAGCATTACGGGGAAAAAGAAAAGTTCATATTATGGTTCGATATCTAATATGTCTAGTATTGACTATCACGTATTAAAAGATTTCCGAATTTCAATGGGACCATTGCAATCACATTAGCAGCTGCCAGTTAAATTTCAGTTGATTGAAAAAACACGCCAAGAATAAAGGAGGAAATTGTGGGGAAAAATGAGTACCCAAAACAGCCACAAGGGTTTGAATTTTTTCAGGTGATGGAATAATGTCAGGCCCACAATCGGCAAACACTTCCTTGCAAGTCTTATACAGTCTCTGAACCGGCAACACTTTCTTGTGCCTTCGCTTCCTCTTCGACTCGTTGCTTACATTAACTTTTACATCACTCCTGTTTTCCTCAATCCTCATTTTCATCAAAATTCACTCGAAATTTGCAAAATACGATATGGGTTTTTGCAGAAACACAAGAAAATGCAAAACTATGATCTGGGTAGTCAAGAAAAAACCCAATAATAAGAAATATGGGACAGGCAAACAAACGGGAAAAACAACAGAGTATTTTTGGGGGTTCTTGATAACAGTATATATACTAGTGATAGGATGGTTTTAGGTACTAATTATACAGGAAATAGAAGAGTACTGTATGAATCTAGGAACTGCTGTAAAGCGGTAAAAGAAATACAGAGATGTGAAATTTATGCATTCTGCTATGGTTACTTACAATGGATAATTAATAGATAGACTGTTGGTTTTGATGGAGAGGAAGAGGAAAACCATGTGCCATGCTTGGAATTCCAGTGGGCTGTTCGAACAGCGGATTTTGCTTTTAATTTCCTTTTTTATCCTTTAAGGAATTTGACTTTTCGTGTATTTTGACTTGGTCCCTCAATTTCCAGATGTGGACAATTAACCTTGCTTAAAAGTTGTTTTTCAGTTTCCTTTCTCGACTTAACGTGTCATTCCCTATTTACACGTCGACCATTTATCGATCCATTCTTTACCATTCTTGGAATTATATGGCCCAATCTTTGATAGCATATAGAGACGTGCAATTAAGTGCTTCTTTGAGCCTCATTATTAGGGATGGCAAAAAAAAAAAAAAAAAAACTCATTCAACTTGAAACCTGTGGGGTCCCGCTCCCAACAAGGCGATGATTACTAATCAGATAAATGGAGTGGGGACGGAGCGATGGTCATTGCCCCGAAACGGGTACATGAATCATAGTCCCCACTCCGCTACCCGTCCCATTTAAAGTTAATTTTAAATTTAAATTTTTGTCAAACAAAAATACTAGATTTTATCATATTTTTAAAGAGAACATAAATTGTTTCTAACAAATTGGTAAAAAAGTAATAATATTTATTAAGTAAAAACATAAAATAAATAAAATAAAATAAATAAATAATAAAAACAAAAAATAAATGGGGCGATAAATGAGGCAGATGACCCGCTTCGTCCCGCTTTAAACGGGTATGGTGATAGGGCAATGTAAAAAAAATTCTCGATGGGATGGGGGTGGGAATGGTCGACATATCTCATACTCGCTTCGTTGCCATCCCTACTCAGTATTTAAAAACTCATTTTCAATAAAATATTCCCTTAATAAAACAATTTTGCATGTAAAAGTTAATTTTTTTAATGTTTTAACCACACTTTCTCCAAAATAATTATATCACAAAAAAATGGAACTCGAACAAAGTCTAAGAAAAGTCATTTTAATTATGCTTAACATTTTAGCCGTTCATCTTTTCTTATTTCATGGATTTTAAATATACAAGAAAACGTCTAAATTTGAAAATATGCATCGTTTTTCAAGGCAGAACACAACTTAGAAATTCATAAACATGGTAACACAGAAATTTATGAACTCAATAGCGCATGTTGATCTATAGACATTCCAATAATTAACGTCTGTGTGTTGTTGCTAAAAGTTGATAAAAATTTACGAGTCTTATGACAAGTATGGTGAAAATTTTGAACCCTACAAAGGTTAAAATAAATTTGACCAACTTTTAACAAACAAAAATGTTATCAAACAAGCACTTATTTGAACTCTTGGAAGAAAAATTTATGCATCCTGCAAGAACCAGTGAACCACATTTAGTAAATATACGTGTTAAAGGCGATTGAAACAATGAATCTTAAAGTCGATTGACACGTTAAAATCATTCATGTCGTGTTTCCGATAACCATGTTGCCACGTTGAAATTATTCGCAGTTGAAATGAAAATAGGAGAACAGGAATAAAAGCGCATCAAATTATTGAGGTTCAGTTGAGAAGTTAACAGAAGAACAGGGACTAACAATACAAAAAAAATCTTGTTCTTTGACTTTATCTACCTTAAAAAATAAAAAGGGTATAAATGACAAAAATTGAAGGGAATCGAGTCAAATAATCAAGGATAAAAAAGAGAATTTGCAGAAAATACCAGCTTAATAGTAGGCAGTTTGTTTTGAAATTAAATAATGATAATTGACGTAAACTATTTTTATCATGAAAAAAGATAAAACAATTTATTTAGAAGGTTGATTATCCGTAGTGTAGATGTCAATTAATTGATTAAATATTTGTCATTCATCATCAATCTAATTGGCAACATAGTAGTATTAATTATTAAATGGTAGATCCAATTAAATGAAGAACACGTGACTTATGTAATTGAATCTATCATTTAAAGTCATCGAAAAGGACGATTATCATCATTAGCGTTACAATAACAATGCCAAAAAGTTTAGTGGGTCGAATTTTGTTTAGCTTGAAAACATCTTGGTTAAATGTAAATTATTGTTATAATTTATTAAGCAGCATCGAATATCATTGCGATATTTGTAGCATGGTGCTCATATAAATATGTTGTTTTAAAATCTGAATACAACCTCGTATATTAGATATAGCCATGCGATTTGACTTTTATATATAAAAAGATGAATTATGATTTGTTCGTTCCATTTATTCGGTATAGTTTCTACAAATTTAGTCAAATCATGCCATACCATATCAACAATCATTTCTTGAATTGCGTACATAAATAAGCAATTTATTGATTTAGAAACAAAAAAGTACACTTTTTCTTCAAATCTAGTAAGGTCACACGATATCACCAGATATGGGAACCAATAAAAAAAAAAGAATAATATTATTTAGCACTAATAGTACTACAATACCAGTTCAGAGACGTGATATGATAAACTCAATAAGAGGTACAATTAAATGAGTCATTTGTTGTCACATTAGTGTAACTTAGACCGATTCTTTAACACCAATATTGTCAAATAACATTAAAATTTAGGACCATTGAGATGAGAATGTCAATCTTGTTATATTTAGTAGTTGGGATGGTTTTAGTTTGTCTACGTCGTATTTCCCAATGCATGCATTGCTCGTATACGGTTTTATCCATTCTTAATCGCTTTGTTTGAAAGCAAACAATACCCATTTCACACATTTCCAAAATAATTTTTATAGCATATACTTATATCACAATTCTCCCATATTTGGCAGAAATTAAAATGAAGATTTTAATTTAAATCAAAGTTAATAATTAATTTTAATCACATATTTTATGCGTCTCATAACTTTTCAATCATATATTTTATTAATTTTTATCAAAATATATTAAAAATTTGATTTTAATTCTCATCAAAATATGATCTTAATATTTCGTTTTAAATGACAAAAAAAAATGTAAAAAAAATGTTTTTCTTTAGAAAAGCATGGATGGATACAATAGTTGCAGTTGCACCTTTCAGTTCTGGGATTCCAAGTTGAGAGGCGGATGCATTGAAACGTGTGAAGATCGTACAACCATATTATGTTGTGCTAGTTGCACCTGTGCACAGGGGATTTCAACGGTAGGTCACTATCAGGCAAAAACTGCTGCCACGTGGAACTCAGTGACTGATGATGACATCTTTTTTCAAAAAATTATTTTTTAAAAGTTTATTTTAATCACACATCCTTTGTAAAATAATTTTACGGACAAATTCAAAAAAATTTCTTTATTTTTTAATTACACGTTTATCACTAAAATACTAATTAAAAATGTATTTTGACCCAAAAATGGAGCTCGAACAAGGGCTAAATTTCAAATTATCTTTTTGTAATTTCCATCCAACATTAATCATTAGATTGATTCTTGTCTCACGTAACCCTGTTTGAGCCCATTTTTTAGGATAATAAATTTTGTAATATTGATTTTTCATAGAATATACCGTTAAAAAGTAAGAAATTTTTTTGGTTCATGCGCAAAATTATTATATTGAAAGAATGCGTGATTAAAAGTAAATTTGATTTTTTTAAAAAAAAAATGGGATAATAAAATTTTTTACGTTGGATAAAATATATCATCAAGTGAAACAATAATTTTTTTATTAAACACTTTAAGGTTCCCCCCAAAAGTACTAGATTGAGTCGGATCGAAACTAGTTGATTATGACCTAGTTTAAGGATGACAAAAGATCTGTTAAACTTGATACCCAAGTTATAATTCGAGTACTCGGTGTAGGTATGGACAACATGGTCACTACTCCCATTTAAAATCCGTTTCAAGAGATAAGTTTGGGGACTATACAAAAAGAAAGAATTATAACATTTTTTAAAGAGAACATGAACTATTCTATAAATTGGAAAATATTAATGATTTTCACCAATTAGAGACATGATTTTAAAAAAAATTTAAAAATAAATGAGCGGTAATTGAGGCAAGAGGCCACGCCCCATCTTTAAGCGAAGATAGGGCCCGCAGATGAAGAAGCCCGGGTACAACCTGGTTAAAATAGAACCGGCCCATGCGGGCTTTCCGGGCCGGTCTGGCCCGGACAGGGGGGGGAGGGCTGACCAGACCTGGACCGCGAGCCCGCATGGGCGGGTCGGCTTGCTAGGCACACTTTTAAAAAAAAAAAAATTGTAAAAATAATTATAGTGAAAATCGAAAAAATTTCCTTAAAAATAAATTTTACATTGATTTATTTTTAGATAAATTTTATATCAATAACTAAATAACTTAAAAATTTACAATTTTTCGAACAA